ACACCTGACTGACTTAAACCCATGAGACTTTATATAATAAGAAGAATATTAATAATAAATTTTAGAGTCAATTTTTATTTTTTTGTTCCCATTTCGCAGGCAGATGTGCACACCATTCTTTTTCTGGACCTCTAAGGCGTGCCTTTTCATGTTTGGAGTTGAAAGCAAAAGCCTTTACATAATTTCCTGACCCCGTGATGCTGGTATTTAAGAAAACCTCCAGATCCGGGACACTAATTATAAAGCTCCCTGTTCGCAATGCTGAATGTCTTCAGGTGTAAAAGACTGTTTACCTCTTTCTATGAAATGACTGTGCCTTTTTGACACCCCTATATGCGCCAGGTATCCCAAGTTAGGGCTTTTTCTGACCTTTTCCCCCAGCCGATAGTTAGATGTCGGAGCAGGATATGCTTTAACAGACATCCAGCTTCTGAGGCAGTCATGCTAAATATCCCTTTCTTTCTTCCTTCAGCTGCTCATGATTCATAGTCTTGATCTGACACCCTCTTAGTAATTATCCCCTTCGCGGCAGAGACGAGAGGCAGATTCTGTGCCGACACAAGTGGGCAGGCGCCTGCACCCTGCAAAGCAGCAGAAAGAACGTGAGGCCTTTCTGTTACCCGCTTGGAAAAGGAGGTTGAGCACCATGTTTCTGGATGAATCGTTTTTTTCCCCAAGAAGCAGAAACTGTGCCGTTATCTCAACCACCGCGGCAATTGCCAGCAGCCAAGGCTGGCAGCGAGGGAGGAGCTGCATGGCCATGCAGTGGGGACCAGTCAGGGAGGAGGTTGGAGACCCTCTGGAGAACACCCTGCTGAGTGAGAAGCAATACCCAGCACAGATGGCAGAGCCGTGATGGTTTGAGTATGCAATGATAACCACAAAACCCCCCCAAAGGAAGCTTTCTGCACAGCACCCACCCCCTGCGGCACCTACGTTCTCCTCCTTGTCTCTAATGGCAAAAAGAGGTCCAACAGGCACCCTGAGGGCAGACCCCTGCTGAGAACTGACAAAACTCCCTGCACAAGCGACAGGGTGCCTGGTCTGATAATTTGAGAGAAAACCTACAGCCCAGTTCAGCACTCTAAAAATTAAGCATCAAGTGCTCAGGGGGTGAGGTTCCCTCCTCCCTGCACAAGGCCAAAGGACCAGCGCAGCCCCGGATCTGCTGATGAGACAAGCCAGATTCATTTCTTCTCCCCCCAACTCTCAGTACAATCATTGCAGCATGATCCCAATGGCCACTGAAGCCAGCCTGATTTTTAATTGGGTTTCAGGCCATTCTGTTTTCCTTAGGTCTATTTTAATTGCTGCCAACAGAGCTCTGCTCTTGGCTGTTCTCATCAGAGCCCTCACCCAATGTGGAGACCCAACACACCTTGGGGGAACCTCAGTCTCCCAGGCACTGTCACCCCAGAGCAACGTGCCATGGGACATTTTTGCAGTGTATTACGGGTGCTGGTGCAGTAAACCGAGTGTTCGAGGAGCTCAGCATCACTCCTGCCTCTCCATCCCAGGGACACAGTCATACTGATGCAGCTCAGTTTTTTCCCTAGGCTGCCTTCACTTGGCAGTTAACACCAAAATAAGCTAATTGGGAGAGTGTGTGTGTGTGGGGGAATGTGATCTGTTATTAAAAATATTCTGCAGAGAGACAAGGAACTGACTCTCAAATACTGGCAAGATTAATAATGTGCATCAACACATTCATTCATTTGTTGCAACTCGAGTTTCATGGCTTTTGGTATTGTGTAATGCAGCATCGTAGCAAGAGGAGGTGAGGCTGGGCTAAAGGATGCAGAAGGTCTCACTGCACTGACCCAGAAGCTAAAATCAGGATAAGAAGCCTTTTCTGGAGAAAACATGCAAAGCAAGTAGGGAGGGCTAAGCAAGCCAGCCCAAGCGACTCCTCAGATCTTCTCAAGGTGACCTTGCAAACAAGAGGAAAGTCCACTTTTAAACTGAAGGCAAAAAGAAAACCAAATTTGAAGTCATTTTTGAAGTGAAGGATATTTTTACCGCCTCTGGGTCCAGGCTGGGGAGGTTCATGGTTTAGCTGGATCTGCCAGTGCAAGGGGGAGGATTCGGTGCAAAGCACTGAGCTTATTTTTATTCTCCTCCCAGATGCAGTGAATGCTCCTTGCCTGAACGCTAGATAAAAACTTTCAGCGCCCTTCCCTCCCGCCACAAAAAAGTACAAAGATTTGATAACAGTTTTGTCCTTAGTGCTTTTGGCGTGTTGCTTCCTTTGAGACATTCTCAAACTGGTGCAAACCTTTCTTAGAAAACATCTTATGCAAATGGAGATTAATTTATTCAAATATTTAAAAGCACAGCTTAGTTTCTGAGGGTGTGCTGGGGGTAATGTGTGGGAACAAAACTTGGGTGTGAGCACTGTGCCCAGTCTCTAGATCTAGGAGTGACAGTAGCTGCCACAGTGGTGGGGTGCTGCCCCCCCTCCCAGGGCAATGCCCCCCCCCCCCCCGAAAGCCCTGTGCATCCCCTGGGTCTTCAACATCTCCTGCTCCAGGGTCTTCACAGATCACTGAAGAGGAAGAGGAGGGATCTAGGGAATTTTGTACCATCAGAGCATAAGACAGTGGAGGGGGTGTACCTGCAGAGAGCAATCTCAAATTAACACAGCCCCCCTCCCCAGATAAGAACCCCAAATCAAACCCCAGCCACGGTGAGATTGCCAAATCAAACCCTATCTAGATGAAAATCCCCAAGTAACCCCCTACACAGATGAGAATGCAAAAATCAAACCTCAAACCTCCACCCAAATGAAAATCTCAAATCTACCCCCATCCTGATAAAAATCCTACATATCCTCCATGCAGGTGAGAATCTCAAACTGATCCCCAAGCCCCCATCTAGATGAAAATCCCAAATCCTTATGCATGGAGGTGGGAATCCAAGATCAATATGCAAACCCCCCATCCAGACGAAAACTCCCAAGCCCTCCCAAGACCTGAGCCTGATGAAAACCCTAAACCCCCCAAGCAGCCATCCTGATAAACACCCCAAATCCCCCCCCACGCATGTGGGAATCCCAACCACCCTCAAGCCCTCATCCCAGTGAAAACCTGAAATCCATCCCCAAATCCAGTGAAACCCCGAAAGCTCACACACACAGCAGAGAATCCCAAATCATCCCCAGTCCCCCCATTCCAATGATAATCCCAAATGCCCCCACACAGGTGCGAGTCCCAGACCGTCCCTCAAATCTCCACCTCAACAAAAGCCCCAAATACCCCTCCCAAGCCCCTATCCCAATGAAAACCCCAAATTACCCCCAAACCTCCCACTATGATGAAAACCACAGATCCCCCCCCATCCAGGCAGGAATCCTAAATTCTCCCCCAAAACCCCATCCTGATGAATACCCCAAATCCCTTCCATGCAGGGAGAAATTCCACCACCCCTCAAGTTCCCATCTTGATGAAAACACCAAATCCACCTCCCAAACCCAATGAAACTCCAAAATCCCTAATTTGCAGATAGGAACCCCAAGCCCCCATCCCCCCAGAAAACCCATATCCCCCAGATGCAGTTGAGAAACACAAATTCCCCCCTGACAAAACCCCAAAATCTCCACATGCAGTTGAGAACCCCAAATCCCCATCCCAATGAAAACACCAAATCCCCCCTATTCATCTGAGAAACCAAAATACTCCACAAACACTTGAGAATCACAAATCCCCACCTCAAATCCGCGCCCACCCTCCCCCCCGCATATGGAAACCTCAAATCCCCTCAAACCCCTACCCCAACAAACACCCCCAAATCCCCCCATGCACCTGAGAACCCCAAATCCCCCCCAAACCCCCACCCCAACAAACACCCCCAAATCCCCCCTACGCACCTGAGAACCCCAAATCCCCCCCCTTAACTCCTCCCCCCAATCCCAACAAAAACGCCAAATCCTCTCCCCCCCCGATGCACCTGAGAACCCCAAACCCCTACCCCACCCAAAAACCAACCCCATCTCAACCAAACCCCGTTATGCACCTGAGAAACCCAAACCTCACTCCAACCCTACCCCCGCAAAAAACCCTCCAACCCCCTCACGCCTATAAATATCCCTCCCCCCCGCCTTGTAACCCCCAATCCCTCCCCCCCAATCCCTCCCCCTATCCCTCCCTCCCCATCCCATCCCTCCCCCCCCATCCTTCCCCCCCCATCCTTCCCCCCCATCCTTCCCCCCCCATCCTTCCCCCCCCCATCCTTCCCCCCCCCATCCTTCCCCCCCCCATCCTTCCCCCCCCCATCCTTCCCCCCCCATCCTTTCCCCCCCCATCCTTTCCCCCCCCATCCTTTCCCCCCCCATCCTTCCCCCCCCATCCTTCCCCCCCCATCCTTCCCCCCCCATCCTTCCCCCCCCATCCTTCCCCCCCCCATCCTTCCCCCCCCCATCCTTCCCCCCCCCATCCTTCCCCCCCCCATCCTTCCCCCCCCCATCCTTCCCCCCCCATCCTTTCCCCCCCCATCCTTTCCCCCCCCATCCTTTCCCCCCCCATCCTTTCCCCCCCCATCCTTTCCCCCCCCATCCTTTCCCCCCCCATCCTTTCCCCCCCCATCCTTTCCCCCCCCATCCTTTCCCCCCCCATCCTTTCCCCCCCCATCCTTTCCCCCCCTCCCTATCCCTTCCCCCCCCACCCCATCCCTCCCTATCCCTTCCCCCCCCCACCCCATCCCTCCCTATCCCTTCCCTTCTCCCCATCCCTTCTCCCCATCCCTTCTCCCCATCCCTTCTCCCCATCCCTCCTCATCCCTCCCCATCTCCCCCCCCCCCCATCCCTCCCCCCCCATCCATCCTCCGAGCCGGGATGGGGGGGGGGGGGGGGGGGGGGCGGAGGCGGGGGCGGGCCGGGGACGCTCTGCACCTCCCCCGGCGGCGGGAGAAGGCGGAGGGGGGGGGGGGGTGCGGAGCGAGGGGGGGGTCCGGGGCCGGGGCCGGGTCCGGGGGAGGGCAGGCTCTGCCCGCCCGCCCCGCCGGGGATTGAGCGCCGGGAGCCGCGGCGGGGACGGCCGCGCCGAGGCACCATGCGGGCACCGCTGCTGCTGCTCCCGCTGCTGCTGCTCGGTAAGTGCCGCCCCCCCCTCCAGCCTCTTTCCCCCCCCCTTCCACCATCGTCTACCCCGCTTTTTCCCACCGCATTCCTTTAATTTCTTCCCCGTCCAACACCACCCCCCCTTTTTTTTTTTTGTTTTTTTTTTTTTTTTTTGTTTTAGTTTGGCTTGTTTGTTTGTCTTTTAAATCAGTTTGGGCTGAAAGGCGGAAAATAAACTGCGGGGTGGGGGGGTGGGGTGGGGTGGGGGATGATGCTGAGTGCGCACCCGCTTTCTGCATCCAGGCTGGTTAACCCTCTTATTTAAAAACTAAGCACCACCAAACCCTCCACGGCAGCTCAACTTGGGGCGCAAAGAGCCGCAGTGCTTGTTTCTTTATGCGAGCTAAACGCGCCGCTTCTTCCCTCCCTCATCCAGCTTCACAAAGCCCCTGGCCAGGGGTTTGGGCTCTTGGGAGGGCGATGTGCAGCTCCTTGAGGCTCACCCCCCTCTTTTGGGGTCCCATCGAGCGAGGGGAGAGCTTCGGTTCGGTTTGGCACGGCCGGTCTTGGAATGGTCCATCGCGCCAGGTGCTGCGCGTATCGAGCGTGAGCCCTCGCCGTTGGGTTGTGGCGGTGGCCTGGGAAAAGAGAGGGGGGGAAAAAGCTGGTGGGGGACAGCGATTCCCTGATGGAAGTTGATGGTGGAGTCGGAAAAAGGATCAGCTTCTGGAGACCCTTCGCTGTGGGGCAGCCGTGGGGATGGATCGCGCCGGGGAGGTGTGGGAGTGGGAGTGGGAAGAGTGTTTTGGGTCATGGGAGAGTGCTGGGGTCAAGGGTGCTGTGGAAACGGCTGCGGGTGGTGCAGAGGGAGGTCTGGTTCTTTGGCGGGGTGTTTTCATTAGAGAGATGGCCATAAATCTCACCGAAAAGTAGCTGGGAAAGGAAAAGCACTGGTTATTTCAAAAGGGAATGAAGGTAGGGAGGAGTGGGGTATTTCTGCCCTGTATTCAGGGAAGATGAGGGAGGGGGGAAATAAAGCAAGATAAAATAAAACAAGATAAAAATAAAATAAAGTGAATAAACCAAAACAAAACAGGAGAAGGTGAAATCTTGCTCTGGGTCATGTCTCCCAGCAGAGTCTCTGCTGAGCTGAATGTGCTTTTATTCAAGGTAACAAAAGCTGGGGGACACTCCGGAGGTAAAAGCACAAGTGGAGGCAGGGCCCTGGGGGGTTTAACTGTGGGGTGAATTCACAAAAGTCTGGCTGAAATCTCTGCCCGCTTGGGGTTTTTCCTGCTCGTCTTGGAATTTGCAGCACTGGGGCTTGGTGGGCGAGCAGGTGTGAAGCCCCAGCTCTCTCTGATGCCAATGTGGGCTTTAAAAGAGATTTCTCTTCCCATTAAAACTCAAGAAGCCTCAGCCTCATTAATATTGGCATAAAGTAGGAGCTGTTAATGCAATTTTTCTTGTGCTGGCCAGAATTTAGCTGAATTTAGCTGACACTGCCTGCTCAGAAGGTTTTGTTCTGTTTTTCAAAACAAAGTGATAAATATGCTGGGATCGGTACAAAACAGGCATTTAGCAGTAAGATGGTGGGGGAACCTGTTCTATAGCACTTTCAAGTGATCCTATTACTTTTTTCTCAGAAACTATTTTATTAAATCCTTCAAAACAGTGTTTTCTGCCATTCGTTGCTGCTCTTAAGTTTTGAAATAAGCTCCTTAGAGACGCTTTTATGTTGCTCCCTCGTTATTAGCACCAGGATTTTCCTCCTTAGGGGCCAAAATAGGCATCCTTCTTTGCTGGGTGTTCAGGGTCCCAGCAATGCTTAACTCTAGGGCTGCTATCTGCTGCAATCATCTGAATTACTCAAAGCCTAAAATTCATCTTTTTTCCCCCCCCTAAAATGAAAAGAAGTTGGTTTGTAAGTGAAAACATAAGATTTTTGCTATCTTAAAAAAATAGTAATTGGGATGAAGCCTGCATGGTTTGCTCTGTTTAAATTGGATGTGAAATGGGTGGGTGAGCAGGAAGTCGGGATTTTGGAGAGTGGTTTTGGGTGTCATGAGTAAGAAGATGACAACGTTGTGTGTGGGACAGAGCAGAATCGAGCCCAAAGTTGATGAAGTTTTTAAAAGCAGCTATTTGGGTATGGCTGTTTCGGTAGAACTGCTGGCTTCCAGGTTCGTATCATCCCAACCCCCTGATTCTGCAGAGATTCTCCCTTATTTCCCTCCTGTAAATCAGAATAAAACCAGTCTCAGACAAGGCACAGCCTGTGTGTACAAGAGATTCAGAGAACATGATATTGGGCAAATAACATCTTTACATTTCAACCAGCCTGCAAGGGACTCTGAGTTACCCATTACAGCATCTTCACAGGACATTTTACTTTATTTATTCTTTTCCCAAATTATATCTTCTGTCCCACGGAGGGTATGATAGCAAAATTGCATCAGGAAGAGAAAAACAATGCTTTTTATCCTCAGATGATTAAAAAGAGCCACTGCTTAAACCTGTCCTGGGGGCAAAAAAGGCAGGAAAGAGTTTTACTGGAGATCAACCCTTTGCCCAGCTGAAAGCAAACCACGGATTGATGGGTTTTAAATCCTTGTTGCCAAAACACCCCTTTTCAGTCCCAAAGCTGTGCTGGTTCCTAGGTACTGGGAATCATGTTTTTCCAAGACAGGCTGTTCAAGATGTGCATATTTAAAAATCCATTTTATCCACTGAATACTAATCTTGACACAGGCAGGAGCAGGCCACTGGGGCCATGTCTACAGGAGGAGAAAAGAATTGTTAACCAGAGAGTTTTAAAAATCAGTGTTGAAGGAGAGCGTGTCTTCTTATATAGTTGCTGTTGGAGGAACTTTGATAAGATTTTTTTGCAACCTTTTTGCAAGCCATTTTAGCAGTTCAATGCCTTTGATTCCCCAGTGGCAAAGCAGATACAGTAATGATTCTCCGTGGGTCTGTTTAGGAGGCTTAATTAAAGAACTGTTTGTAAAATACTTGAAGATCCTTGGATGAAGGGAGCTGGAACCATTCTATATACTGATATAATTCCGGAGAGTTGCTTGAAAGGCTCATGATGAGGAGACTGGTGATCATTCGTGTTGGCAGTGATGGGAGACCCGCTGGAAATATCTGCTCTCAGCATTTGCAGGCAGGCTGGGGTTGCACTTTGATTATTATTTGCCCTACAAATCATGCATTTCTTCTCCTCATCTGCAGCCTCTAAAAGACCTAAGCCTGCCAGCACGAGCTCCAAGGTGTTTTGGGGCACAGGCTGTGGGGACTGATGGAGGTTAATTATAGCCAGTGAGGATCCCTCAGTCCGTGCAACAGCCCCCATGTTATTCTGGGTGTTATATCACTACACGAGAGCAGAAAGAAGGTGCTGGGGTTTAGGTGCAGGACCATATCCATCCCACCTGCTGGCACCTGCCCTGAATTTTGCTCCATTCTCCAGGATGGTGGAGTGGGTGGCCCCTTTGCTCCATCCCCAAGGACCCACCGCAGCACCCAGAACCCCCTGATGCTCTGTGGAGCCAGGGAGGATGGGGCGAGTGGGGCTTCATCCTTACAGAGTGATGCTCTGGGGAGGTGGGATCCCACCGTAACACCCAGCTGAGCTGCTCTGTGCCGTGGGGAGCTCAAACCCCAAGCCCCAGGTGCTTTCAGCAGCAACATCTCCAGGTGGTCCAAGCAGCAGTAGGACCAAGCACGTAACAAACAACCCACCTGTGGGCATGCAGAAATTCCTCCCTCCCAGCTGCTGAGCTGATGGGGAGTGACACACAGGCAGAAATGTGCAGGTTGTGAGCCTGAGTATCCAACTCGCCTTCAATCTTGCTCCCAGCCTGACAGCACACTTGCCTGACGGACGGCCACCCTCAGCCCTGCCAAGAGCCGAAAGTCTAAGAAAGGGCTTGAACTCTGCAGGAATCCGGGTGACCCGGTTTGGTCCATTCCCCATGTGCAGGCATGTGAAATCTTGCAAACCCTCTGAAGAGTTTTCACATGCTTCTGCCAACTTCCTTGTCAAAAGCCTGTTTACGTGCACAGCTTCTTCCATAACTGGCCAATCTCCACCTAAGGATGTTGTTTCTGAATTCTTGCAATGCCTGCCCTTTCCTTCACAAAGAGCTCCTGACCAAACCTTGCTTTTTTTTTTTTTTTTTTTTTTTTTTTTTTTGCTTTTTTTGCTTTTTTTTTTTTTTTTGATTCTAAATGATACACACAGTCATCTGGCATTTGTTGTTCTCCAGCTACCTGTGCTCATTCACTACAACCCCCAGGGCTTCACCGAATAGTCCACGTTGCAGAGCCGTGCCTTTGGTCTTGGGATTGCCAAACAAATCCACCGTGTCTTTCTCTTGCAGCTTGTGAGACTACCAGGCTTGAGCCTGATTCTGCATGGGGGTCTGGCAGATCCTACTGCATGGTGAGGTTTGGGGATGGACCACCTGCCTCCCCAAAACCCTATCCATGTGCCTGTGGTGCTTAACAAAAAAAAAAAATAAATAAAAAAAAAATCCTTGTTTTTTCCCCCAAAATGCCTGGTGGGATGGTGTCCCACACTCCATTATGATGTGCTTTCTCCTATTGCTTCTGTGTTGTTTGGGAGGGATGGGGACAGTTCACCTGACCTTCATTAGGTTTTAGCAGCTCTAATTGCATATTTTCCCCTTGTAGTGCTGGGCTGAAGCTTCGTGGTATTTTGCTCAGGAGGTCCTTCAGGAATATGTAGATCCACTTGAAATTGGGTGGAGGTAGGAGGGATGTGCTCTGCTCATATCACAGCTCCAGTTTTGAAGTACCTATGGATTGGGACAAGCCTCTATCCAAAAACATGTTACTTTTGAGCTAAACAGCCCTGTCCGAGAAGGTAGACAGAGGTGGGGAGAAAAAGATGAGCTTCCTTGTTATTGTACAAAATTATATGCTGTGATCTAAGAACTGTTTAAAGGACTGGCTGTGCTGCAGTTTCTCTCTCTGTTTTGCATGTGTCTGCTTAGACTATGTGCTG